TCAGGCCCCCACAACAAACAAACTCACATTTCTCGGAAAGATGGAGTGGAAAAAAGACACCCCAACCCCCCCCCTCCCAATCTCCCCCCAAAACCCCGACACAAAATCAAAACAAAAAAACCAACAAAACAAACAAGTTTGGGAGTGACGTTCAAAATGTAGTCAGGCCCCCACAAAAAAAACCAACCCTCACATTTCTCCACTTCCCCAGATTGGTCGCCATCTTTCTCCTCCTTGCTGTTGCCGAAAGGATCCGGGTTCTGATCGCCGCCCTCGATGTGTCTGGTCGTCTTCCGGGACTTGGTCACTGGCGAGCTGGTGGTCTGGGGGGTGGGTGGAGCGCCTGGAACCAGGGAGGAGATAATTGCGGTCATGAGAAGATCGGGAAGAAATATGAGGAGTGCTGACAAAATGAGTTACTTCTGGCAATCCACAAATGGAGATACTGACCAAGAATCGACACTCGGGCCAAATTTGTAGTTTGATGCCACATTATTCTTTCAGTATTATACGCCTTTTATTATTTCATACTTAATAATAAATTGTAAAAACTTCACCAAAAAGCGGAAAGATTTATTTCCATATGTCTGGAATCCGAGAACTAACTCATTTTGTCAGCACCCTTCACAAATAACCGCTTTTAATCACAACGGGGCTATCCCGAAAAATGCTGTTCTGAGAAAATCGAAGGTAAAGTTTTCGCCCCTTGTTCAGTTTCTTTAAAAGACAAGGAGAGTTTTCTCTATAACCAAACAAATATACACCCCAATGAAACCAAACTTTTTCCTCTAGGTAGGGCAATGCCCACTTTTGGAGTAGGTCAAGATTTCTGGAAACCCCGGAAATCTGGGTTAGTCCGCTTGTCCTTAAAGACGACCAGATCTATTATATATTTGGCAACTGGGAAACACATGTGTCACTTTTCCCATAAAACTACGACAGCTACAGAGTTGAAAGTTGGCAAGTACCCGCAAAAAGATAGATAAGTCCCCATGACGGAGCCGATTTTTGATGTATTCATTTCCTGAATTTAGAAAAATATAATTATTTAACAAAAAGTTCCAGTTCGTCTTTGGCTTTAGTGATTATTCCATTGAGAAACGAAACAACGCAAGTGCCAGAAGTGATGTTTCGAGAGGCGCATTTTGTTTTGAGAGTATAGATCTAGACCTTCCATTTTTTTCCCCTCTCTCAAGATTTATTGCTCCCTTCCAGTAGAGTGTCAAAATAGTAGGCCAATGACTTTCAGTTGATGTTAATGCACCGAACATTCCTTTCATCGAAAGGGGGCCCTGCTAGTACTATAATTATTGCTACATCTTCCCCATATTCCTATAATATGGCGCAGACACCTGGACTTTGACAAGGAAAGAAGAAAACAAAATAAATGCGTTTGAGATATGGCGCTATCGTAGAATGGCCAGAATAAGTTGGAAAAAAAAAAGAAAAAGAAAAACAATGAGGTGTGTCAGATTCTACACACAAGACAAACCCTGTTGAACAAAGTGCTGAAAGATAAAGGGTCATTACACGTCAACCTCTGAGTCAGAGTTGTGACACCTCCAAGGATCCGGGTATCGTTCTAACGAGTGTTTGGTGTGAATGCGCGATTCCTCGGTGTCTGACAAAATGGGTGAAATGGTATAGGTTTAACGCCTCTATCAACACTATTTGGTTATTTCAGAGGCGGGGCCATAGAGTTTTACGTCCAACTCTAAAAGGATCGAGCCAAATGGGAAATTCGTGTGAAGTGTCTTTCCCAAGGACACAACGTTGCACCGAGCTGACGCTCGAACCCCCGAACCTTCAATCTCACGATTACGGGTCCGGTAATCTAACCACTAGATCACCGACGCCACTCGTTGTCTGATGATAACCATTGCATCTGCACAGGAAAATTCTATGTGCTTCTTAAGGGAAACAGAAGACAATAAGGGTTAAGATGACTTGTGGCTTCCGCTTTTCCCACCAGAGAGAAACGAGGAAAATTCGCGTGAAGCGCCTTTCCCAAGAACACAACGTTGGGCCCGTGACGGGATTCAAACCCACGACCTCACAGTTGTCAGTTCCGTAGCTTAACCATTAGAGGGTTTGTATGAAAAATAGCTAACCTTTTCTTTTTATGAAGGACTTTACAGTACTTGCAACACAGATATGTCATACAAGTGCCACAAAGATTAGAGGTGTTACTAGAGAGTAGCACACGAACAAAAGAAGGTGGAGAGCAGATAAGAAGGACGATAAAAGTTTGATAAGAAAGAAGGAGCAAACCCCGTGAACGAGGTCACGCACTAAACACTCAATGGGGGCGAAATAAGGACGATAGATGTTTGATAGGGAAAGAAGGAGCAAACCATACCAGAGCACGCGCCAAGCACTCACTGAAGGGCGAAAAAAGGATGATAGATGTTTGATAGGGAAAGAAAAGAATAAACCACAGAAGCGAGCCCACCAAACACTCACTGGCGTAGAAATAAGGACAATGGATGTTTGATAGGGAAAGAAAAGAAGAAACCCCACGAACGAGATAACCGCCAAACACTCACTGGGAGTGAAATAAGGACGATGGATGTTTGATAGGAATAGAAATAAAGAAACAAAAAAACAGACTACACCAGAGCACACGCCAAAGACTCACAGGGGGCGAAATTAGGGCGATAGATGTTTGATAGGGATATAAATGAAAAATAAAACAACAACAAACAAACAAACAAACAACACCACACAGAAA